TTTGTCTGTTCAGATTGTGTGTGCAACACAGTTATACAACAGGACATTAGCAATTACAGTCTATTCACATAACTCACCGAGACAAAGGTCTCTGGAGTGGTCTAAGAAGTAGTGTGCAGAGCACTGACACCACTGACCACTCTCCACCGTCCAGACTCCTGACACTCCAGTAGCGCAAGTCCAGAGTCACTAGTGGACTCGCTGTTCTCCACACAGTGGCCCTGGAGAGTGTTCCCAGCAGAGGTGTTCTGGTCCACTCTCGACCAGACCCTCACTCCCTGCCTCACACACAGGCTGATAGTAGACCAATACTCGACTGACACTGGCACATGTCCCATTGTCCCTGATACCAAGGTATAACCCAGACTGACTGAGTGGAGAAATCTTTATCACTCTCTCTCCACTGCTGATGTTAGAAATGAAGTGATAGTTACTGGTGTCTGCAGCTAACAGTTTGTTCTTAGTTGGAGTCTCCCACACATACAGCGACAGATCGTCCACACACGATGGAGCAGAGGGAAGACAAGGAGCAGAGGGAAGACAAGGAGCGTCAAGTCTTGAATGAATCATTACTTGCACAGTTGTAACATTGTCTGGGACTGAAATGTGTTGAGTTATCATCCAGTTATCCTGATGACCACTTGATCTTCCACACACATGAACATCTTCATTGCAATATACAGGACTGTTGGTTCCCCACTATTAAAATGCAGGTAAATGCATAGAGCTCCCAGCAAAAGTAATTTCGTCTTACTTTGACTCCATCTCCATCGCTATCCAACGTCTGCCACACACCTCCCGCGCCGTCAGACTCGTACGGCAGTAGTTTGCTGTAGTCTCGTGTGTCGAGGAGAGGACGGACGTGGTCGTCGTACTGAGGATGTGAGGAGTCGTCCAAACAGCCCTGCTCTCCGTCATGGGGTGCCTGGGTCCTCGCGAGGCCTGCGAGACTTGCGAGACACAGAGCCACTGCAGAGAATCTCGCGTATGAGCCGCCCAGAAGAGCCATCACTCAGTCTCACTGTGAGAGATCCCAACCAGATTGCATGCAACGCCCACACTACTACTGCGCATGCGTACTCTGCATTGCAATTTTTGTCGCACACAGTTTTCACTCATGACACAATAGCTAAGTAGTTATCTCCAGGTAAATTGGTCCGGATGGTGTAGTGGGGGAATTGGCTGACTCACAACCAGAAAACACTTGATGGGGCTGGATCTCCAAGGAGGCTGCAGTAGTTCCATGTGAAGTTAACTGGTTATCTCCAAGTCCTTCATTCCAGTAGACTCCACTGCTGCTGACCAATTCATAACTGGGATTATCATTAACGGAGAATTCAAGCTGGATGGGGTTTCTGACTGCATGTTAGGGAAGCATGGTGTTTCCTTGCGACATCTTATTAACTCCACATTAGTAGAGGAGGAGACTTGGTTTTTGTAACTAAGCACTTTTTCTAAGTATGACGGCTGAGTTATCATGGTCAATGTCGCCAGAGGTACTATAGTAAAACGAGGTACCAACTCGATGTGTGCACAGTTGCATCAGCTG